ACGTATACGTACATATCATACATGCATAATTGCATACAAACTTACATACATACATACATACATACATGCATACATACATGCGTACATACATACATACATACATACATACATACATACATACATACATACATAAACTCATGCATACATACATGCGTACATACAAACATACGCATACATGCATGCATGCATGCTTGCATACATGCCTACATGCCTACATGCATGCATACATGCATTGCATGCATGCAAACATACATACGCACACACTTACATATGTACATGCATACATGAGTACATGACATTCATACTCACAAGCTCCACCTTCGCATCCATCCATCCATCCATCCATCCATCCATCCATCCATCCATCCATCCATGCATAAACGCATACATGCGTAGTATATCAACATACACATAGGCGAGATAACGGTTGCGTGCACCCTTAAGTAACAGATGCGACTGAAGCCTTCCTTTCCCACAGTAATTAAACTCTGCAGCCTGCGAAACCCAGTTCAACAAAGCACCAAATGCAGGACCCGTCAGAGCCCTTCATACAAGCCTTACTGCACCCTCAACCCAAAACACAAGTAGACTCAACCCTAAACTCTATAACCCAAAGCCACACACCCTGCACTAAACTCTTGATCCTACACCCTAGACTCCCAACCAAACAACCCATCCGTGACCTAAACCCTATAATCCTCAATCTTTAGACCCAAGAACCTTAGGCTTGAAAATTTACAACCCCGAGCCATAAACTGTAAAACCTAAACCCATAACCCTTATCCTTAGCTTAAACTCCTAGCCCTAAACCCTAAACCCGAAACCCCCCGGCGCCTTGGGCTTGGCCGGGCTCTCCTCCGGATCTTCGTCGGAGAGCGCACCCGGAGCCTCGTTTCGAGGTCTGTGTAGGGTTTAGGGTTTAGGGTTTAGTTCAACTCAATCACCCTGACGCCTACCGAAGCCTCGCACAAATCAACATCTCACCTCAACCCTGAAAGGATATCTAAATCTAATCAAAGAGAAACCCCTAAACCCTGAACCTTGCCAAAATGTGCATTTTGGGGCTTAGTGGTTTTCGGTTGCTGTCTGGGTTACACATGTTAGGCGGGCTGGGGTTTGCGTTTAGGTTTGGGGTTGTGGGCTTCGGCTTAGGGCTTCGGAGATAGAGTTCCTCTGTTCTTGATTTGCGTTTGTAATCATGGGTCTGCAGGGCTTTATAACTGTCTTGGTATGGGTTTATCAGGCTTCAAGTATAGGATTGTATGAGGTGTTCGAGATTATGAGTTGTTCATAGGGGCTCTATATGGGTGCTGTGGGGTCCTGTATTTGTGTACCGTACTTGAACTGCACCGGAATCACAGGATCTGGCAGCGACGCCAGGTATGGTGTGTTTCGGTCCGTGGGGCTCCGTATAGCAAGGCTCCCACAAGCATTTGGGCTCGATGGCTACAGCTGCCTAATTTCCCAAAGGGTACGAAGTACCTACATAGTAGAAAGTAGGGCTTCCATGTTCCAAATAATTGTGCATTGGGAAAGTATACCCCATAAAGCATCCTTCTAAAGGATCACGGGAAACCTGAACAAGGAGCCGCAAGGACCCTTAGTCTTGTAAACGTTTCAGCGGCATCTGCTCGTGTTCTCATCCCTAAACCCTTTCGGGTGTGGATTCGTGTTCAGGGTTCCTGAGCCCTATTCCCTAAACCCTGCTAAGCGCCAATCCCAAAGCCCTGCAGAGTAGTAAGCCCCAACTCAGAAAAAATATCGCCTTACAAGCCCCGCTGCCTAGACTCTGAGACGCCAAACCCTACTTTTTGTAGGGTCCCGATGAATTCTAGGTCAGGGTGCACAACAAAATTCCCTACCACAAGGGCAGCTTATGGTAGTTTAAGGTTTTCCTTGAACTGCATAGGGCGGCTTCTCGTGCTGTTGAGAAATACAGTCCGTAATGAAGGATTTCTGGAGACTCAGGATGTCCATACACGGGTTACTGCTTTCAGCTAGTATCGTTCCCACTCGATGCGGATTCCTCTATCTTTCTGAGGTTGTTGTAAGTATAAGAATGGGGTAGGCTGCCAGGGGGCTCCTGTAGAATCCTAAGTAGTTCAGATACCTGCGGATCCAACACCAACAGTTTTAGGGTTGTTGCAAGAATACTTATAGGGACCATAACTCGCTGATATGGACCCCGAAGTATCGATGCTAGTTGCTAGTTGAAAACGTGGAGTCCCTGAACCCTACGAGGTTCCATCGCAACAGCCTGAAAATGAGGGTACCCGAAGTTGGCGACCCAGCCTAAACCCCAAAGCCTAAACCGCCTAAGCCCCAATCCCTAAACCTTTGCTACTTGGCTGTCAAGCATCATACAGGTTCCGCACTCCATGTCGCGCCTTCCAGGAGGTTTAGGGCTTACGGTGGCTTTGAATCTATGAGGCTTCTTATGGGCCTACCGTGAAAAAAACATATGATGATTCTGAACCCAAAACCCAGAAGCTTAAACCCTATACACCTTAAGCCCTAAACCCTGCACCCTAACTTAAACCGAATGCCACATCCTCCGGTACTCAGGCCCCTGGACGGAAGAGCGGCTGCTTCTGCTTTCAGGGTTTATCAGTTTATTCTGGGTTTTTGCTTCTTTGTCTTGGTTGTCTTTGCGACTTGTAGAAAAGGATCGTAAAGGGGTTGAGGGTTTTTGGGCATATACCAGGCACCTCGAAGGCCAGAAATCAGCAAACCTTTCCCGTGAAAGCCCCAATCTCTTCTAAACCTGTCGAGATTTGAGTGAGAAAGCACTCTGCGATGCGCTAGAAGGCTTGGGATATGGAGGAAGCCTGGATGTGAAGCGGGGGGGGTGCCCAAAAGAAGAAAGCCTACGTGCGCCCAACAACCAACATATACCCTAAGCCCTGTGCGCCCTGAACTAAATTCCAAACTCCCAAGTAATCCCGAATAGGTATACCCTAAGCCCATCAGCCCTAAAATACAGGCTGAACTATCCCCAAGAGTCATCCCAAACCGTAAAAAACCCCGTATATAAATAGTTATCTAAATCAGGGTCCCTTTTTTATAGGGGGTGCCGTACTACTTTGGGTTCCTATAAAGAAGAAGTACCCCTACAAAGACCCTCAGCCCTACAGCAAAACCAAAGCCACGAAGCTCTGGCCTGGCTTTAGGGTTCAGGGTTTAGCCTTGGGTTTAGGGTTTAAAATAGCTAAAGTGAGGGGTACTTTGAAAGGCTCTTGCAAGGCTTCTGTAAAGGTCACCCCGAATATAAATCATGGATTGAATGTGTGGGATATTGAGGGGTGTAGTATAGTCTACCGATAACGAAGAATTTTCAAGAATCGTCTTTGCAACTACTCGTCTGGCTTGTATATTAAACCCTTAACTTAAAGGCTAAACCCTTCCTGCGGCTGCACGAGTTATGGCCTAGGGCATGAGGTTTGGTATTTCGAATATGTTTCAAGGAGTCATAACAGCAGCTAAATCATAGATCATGACCTATTATGTCATGGGTTTGGAGGCTCATCTCCCTTAGAAGGTAAGTTGGACAATATTTATGCGGGTCCCTGGGCAAAAACCAAACCTGAAACGAGGAAGAACGCACAAAAAACTGACCAAGAGCCTTGAGTCCAGGAAAACCGTAAGCTGTAAACCCCAAAACCCAGAAGTGTTAAAGAGTGCCGAGCCTGCTTCATTCCAAGCCTGTTCGGGGGGCGGTGTTCGGGATCATGGCCTATTGGGAGCTTCCCAAGTTGTCTTGGTTTGGGATTTAGGGTTTACGGCTCATGATAAGGATGTCTAACGAGTTGAATAAGTCTGGAGCTGGGGGTTGACAAAGATGGCCTTACGTCTTAAGCATGAGTATAGTCGCTATTTGGCGTAGGACAAGGTAGTGACTTTTCTATATCGCGGATAGGACACGATCCCTGCGGGGTGGGCTCCCAAAAAACAGAGCCACCTCTACGTATAGGGTCTTACACGGGCGTTTGGGGACGGGGGGTCTCTCAGACATGGCAATCCTTTCCTGCCTGTAAGAGTGCAGTGCTCTGTTGCTGATTATATTAAAACTAAGACTATGTGCATGTCTGTACATATTGCTGCGTATATTAAAACTAAGACTATGTGCATGTATGTACATATACACACATATCATACATATCATACATATATATATATATATGCATGTATAAACACATGCAGAAATACATGAAATAAAATGTTGTACAATATGCACTGGAGAGGGATACCCCGGGATGCGGTGAAATTATTCATTCTATTTTTGGCTTCTGATTGTAAGTGACGGGATATGCTTTCATCAACCGGTACTTCGCCAAGTAATCAAGACAGGGACTTTAGCAGTTTGAAGAGTGCTCTGCGGTACAAGCCCTGATTTTCACGGCGAGCCTGAAAAGAATACTGGTACCAACTCTACAAACCGCAACAGAACTTCATTGGGTTGATGAAGAAACCCTCAATTTGTCTTAACCCTATAAACACCCCGCCAGCCCCTGCAACAATCCATCCTGAATCGACATTCCAGATCTCTGATTGTCGAAAAAGATCGGCCCCTCAGCCCATGGATTCAGAACTTCGGGCTTGCTCCAAACCCTAAAGCCTAAACCCCCTACCCCAAACCCCTAAACCTAAACTTCAAGCCTTGAGTCCTAAACAAGGAACCCCAAGCCCTAAACCTTGAACCCTCTAAACCCCTACACCCTTCGGTCTAAACCTAGTGTCGGCGCAAAGCGTTGGTTGCCTTGCGCTCGCTTGGCTCCTGCACCTCGAGAGCTTTAAGTCAAACCTGCGCCAGGGCATGAAACTGCAGCGCAGTTGGCATGGTGCGCAGGCCAAGAAAAGCTCTTTCAATGAGCGGTGGAAGAGCTTGACCGCCGGCAAAGAGACTTTCTTCATGGCTTTGAATACGCGGGTACGGTATGCATTGATCTTTCCATCAGGATCAACCGTTGGAAACTGAGATTTCGGCCGCACGCAAGCCCCAGTCACATGAGCCCAGTCTGCCAGCCGGTCAGCACACGGAGCAACTGCTTCATGGCAAGGTTTTCGCCCGCGTGGAGGTCAGCATAATGTTGATGGCACATAGTCACAAGGTCGAGCTTGGCAAACTGCTGTGCGCCGTGCACGAGACGCTCGAAAAGGAACTTGTAGGTCTGCTTGTTTTCCTTGTTGCCCACCGCGAAAGCCCCAGGGGGTTGAAAGTGACACCCACACGTCTTCTTTCACGAGCCGAAGGGTGCCGTCCCCACATGTTTTTTTTATGTAGTCTTTGTTGGCGAGCCGCTGTAGCATCTGGTTCATTAGGCATGGGTTGCAGAACACTATCACCGTGGCACTCGGCTGGATTTGGCAACTTTCAAAGCATCGGGCACGTGCTCAAGCCCGTCCGCGGCAGTTGCCGCCAGTCCGCCTGGACCCACTCGTAAGCAGACCACCGATCGGATTTGGTGCCCTTGTTGACACGATGATTTTTCGACCACCTCCTTCCTTCCTTCCTTCCTTCCTTGGTCCCTTCTTCTTGCTGTGCTGAATTTTTGATCCTAATTTAAACTTGTTTTTGATCCTTCCGAGTTTTTTGATCCTTATTTAATTTGTTGTGATCCCTATCCCCATGAAGGTTGCCAGAACGTGTCTGGACTTCTGGACAGCTTGTGCGCGATGAAGCCGGCGATTTCCACGATGGGCCTTCTCACTGCCGATCGCTGAAAGAAGCGGAGCTCACTTGGCCGATTGTGGAGAGCTTCCAGCACCTCAGCTTCCTCCCCCAGCACCACCTCCTCCTTTGGCAGCCAAACCTTGCCATAGGTGTCATGGCCCCAAGTCTCCAGCCACGCCTCCACGGATTCGAACGTGTGGTGACGTCGCTGGGCCGGCATATGCAGCCGCAGCCCTTCCTGGCCGTTACATACGGTTGCGGTGATGCGGGGACCCCTCCGCTCAATATCGGCTTCCTTGCCCACCTCCTGCGTGGCCGTAACAAGGCTCGCGGGTCCAGCATAAGATGATGAGCCAAGAGCTCGACGATGTCCCGAAATTTCAACAAGAAGGGGACGATTTTGTCCCCGCGTGTTGCGTGTTGGCGCAGAGAGGCTTTAATCCGCGTCCAGGCTAAATGTACCTGAAAACAACAGCAGCACAAACTCAGAAAGTAGGAGATTCCCAAGAAAAAGCCGTCGTTCACGGGCTCTCGGGATACAGATGAACCGGTCTGGCAGATAAGTAACAAACTGATAGGCCTCTTGGTCTAGCTCGCTGAGTAGGACAGGCTCTCCTTCAGGGCACTGTGCTGGGTCGAACCAATGCTGGAAGAGTGTCACGGGCCATGAGTTGTCCAAGCTGATGTATGTTCCTTCATTGCAATCGTCGTCCCGCTGCCACAGATTGCGCCCGATGCAAGTCTCAGCACGAGCTCCGAACGGGTGGTCATGGTGTAAAGCAAGCTCAACAGGGTTTTAGGGTTCAGGGTTTCAGGTTTGGCTTCGTATCGCCATATCCCAATCAAGCAAGCTGAACGACCCCAAACCTCCTAAACCCTAAACCCTAAACCCTAAAACCCTAAAACCCTAAAACCTTAAACCCCCAAAACCTAAAAGCCCTAACATCTTTGGGTGTTCGGACCCTCTGGGCTAGAACCGATGCCGGCCGAGCAGAGCCTCAGCAGCATCCGCGCAGAGTACCTCCGGCTAGACTGCTAGGGCTTCCCGTATAACTTCTAACTACACGCTAAACCTTAAACCCTAAA